TGTTTTAGTCACTAGTGTAAATTATATGTATATAATAAATAATAATTAATAGAATATCAAAATAAAATTGGGTTTTGACTAGGTTTAATATTAGAAGGAATAGGGTTACTATTAAATTGATTTGCTTAATTGTTAAATGTCATTTAGAGTCCACTCTATTTTACACATTTATTTTTCCAATTCAACCACTAATCATAATATAATGTGTTCAAATTGTAATTGTGATAGACGGAGTCATAGTATTATATGGTATTATATAAAGCTAATATTTGGTATTTTGGTATCTATAGAGGTCAGAGGATTGGGTATACTGTATACTGGGTATAGTCTTGTGTGGTCACGATAACATAAAAGTAACTATATAGTTATTTAAATAAATTTATTAAAACGTCAGCGAATTGTAAAAATTAGTCTTTTTATAAAATTGTGATCCAATATTTATCGTCATCATTAGTATAATTAATTTTTTACCTTCTCATTAAAATACTTAGTATGTATTTAAATTTATCGATAGTAAATACTAAGTAGACAATTATGAATTTATCTATTTCTTTTAAATATTTTCATGTAATAGGGGCACCACCATTGGGTTGGCTAATCAAATAGGCTCAATGGTCGGTTGATAAATAATATTAAAGTTGATGGTTGACACTCGTTTCAGTCGTTTCCTTCAATATAATATTAGCTATGTTCGTCACAGCTGTATCCGCCAAAATTAAAAATGTTAATTAAATCTCCAGGTAATTTACAGTGTTACAGTACTATTTGAAAAATATAATAATATTTGTTAAACAGTCCAGTTACACCTTTGTATAATTGTGTCTTAAGTTAAAAACTGAAAATGCAATTAAAATATATTACATGCATTTTAGAATAAGTTCATCGCCGTCTGTAGTTTCTTTTAATTATGTTATTATGTTATTTTTTAAAAGCAATAATTTAATAGTCCATTTATTGTGACTTATTTACATTTTTATCATTAAATTATTTTAAAATATTTAAATGTATTTTTTTTTAAACAATAATTTACTTGTTAATTTATTTTTTAATGAAATGCAACTATATAATTAGCTTATACTATAACATTTAATATTTGTACTGATTAAATAATACAATAGTGTAAATGTATTATAGAATTTATGATTATAATATCTGTTGATTATGATATTATGTAATAATTTTCTTGGACATCTGGATTTTGGATTCGATATCACTGTTGTACATTTATGTTCTGGTTAGTGGCATAATAAGGAATTTCCTTTGGAGATTAACATTTTTTTACACAAAAAATGATGAGTGGTAGCTGGGAATTTATATATTATTAAGGCTCCAAGGAGATCTCACCACAGCACCCCCTTAATAACGACCCTGGTTCTAGTGATGTTTCGCGAATTTCTTTTTGTCTTGTACTTCACAGAACTCATAGTGGCGCGCGTTGCCGCGAGCCCGCGCCACGTAACGGCCATCGTTAAAATTAAAACTCAATTATCGCTGGCCGAAATGTAGAATTAAGCCGTAATAATTACAGTACCAACGACTATAATAACGAGTGTGGTACACGGCATGTTGTGTACGAGTGTAGGCATTATACGCAGTACGCACACAACACGCACAGTACATTTCCGATGACCATTGCCATTTGCCTGTTTGCCACAATGCCACAGAAGTTGGCACAGATAATAACATAGCAGTATCCATAATAGTATAGCGGGCGGATTGTGCGCACGCGCAAACGTCGCCGCGGCTGAAAACTACAACCTATAGTCCGACGTCCGGACTCATCTCTACTCCAACTCCAATAGTCCAAACTCTTTCCAATTTCCAACGCTCCGACGTTTAAGCGTTGAGTACTTGAGTCACCGAGGCAGTCTGTGTTCGCGTTTCGTCCCGTTCGTACCGTTGGCGGCCGTACATCATCGTTGTCGCGTTCACGTTATCGCRCGTCGATTCTAATTGTTGAATTCCCGGAATTCCCGGACTCCGGCCGGCACCGATAGTCGATAACGTATTTATACATTTAGTTACGACACGAAACACTTGTGTCAAGGACCAAGGTACACCGATTAGTAATATTGTTAATAATAATAATACTATACGCCGGCTTATTATACAGATTTATAGGTTGTRTATTAAAACATTTCAACCGCAGTGACTGCCGTCGCGCTATCCGATTTTTTTTCTCGTTCGACATCGTAAGTTTTACTTATTTTTCGATCGTCAGAAAAGGTAAACATTCAGTATACCACCTGCCGTCGACAGTGTTCGATACCGGGCACGCCGGATAACACTCGCGATACCACTAACGGGCGGTAGGTATCGCTGTACTATAGTACCCGTGACGCCGGTATCCACGCCGGTAACGTTGGTTTGAATTGCTCAAGTCGCTAAACTCATTGCTCATAACTCGTCATCCGCTTCGTTCATTTATGGAGTTGGTCGATTTGGACGGTTTTTGCGGTTCGCCTTTTTGGGTAAGCTAAGCACGGGTTACTTGTAATACTTAAATATTTTATTCATTTTTRCGTTCCCTCGCCGTGTCACGGGGTCTCAATTCGGTTTTTATTTTCAGGATTGGAATACGTCGTGGAATACTACTGATCCCGATGTGACGCTTTGTTTCGAGAAGACAGCCCTGGTCTGGTCACCTTGCCTGTTCCTGTGGCTGTTCAGTCCGCTAGAAGTCTACTACCTGGTGCAYAGCAGGTACAGGGACATACCATGGAATTGGCTCAATTTGTCCAAACTGGTGAGTGTTTTATATATTTTTATTACCTAGTTGTTAATATTGTTATTGATGTGTGTACATATTGTGATTTAGCGTCAATGTACGCCGTAATGTGATCCTAGTGGGTGCTCTAAAGTGGCCTGTTGCAGTGTTACTTATAATTTTTGAGATMATTAAACACACTTACGATGATATTTTTTTTACATATAACTCCTATGAAAATTCACATAGATAACTAATCAAAAAAGGTAGATTAAAATTTTGGGTAATAGAACCCTTGCAAGTTCTACTCAGAACACAGTTTAAGAAACTGGCCTAGTGCATAATATGAGTTATGACATAACATAATATTGAATAATGCACAATATGGCTCTATAATAATATTACATAACATTATGTACATACATACCAAATGTATTTATGATTTTTTCAAGAGAGGGGAATTTTATTATATTTAACAGATAAGAGTATTATGAATTATGATACTTCATATAAATATATTGTAATCATGCCTCCTTAGGAATGCGTCTCAAATAGACCATTTTGATCAGAAGATTAAATACAGAGTTAMGGTTAAAATCTGGAAGAATCAAAACTATTGTTGTGTTATCCAATAATTGGATATTATGTTACACTTGCCGATCACTAATTAGCATGGGCGGATAGGCCATTTTTGGCCTACCGGAAAATTTTAAAAAGGGGCCCCACATGAAAAAGAATTTAATAATATATGATATTAAAGGTCCCCATTACCGAAATACGAAGGGGGCCCACAGGGAAATTCCCGGTTGCCCGGTWGGCCTATCCGCCCATGCTAATTAGTGTTATAGCTATATTTTCTATACTTTTATTTATACACCTACATATTTTCTAAGTTATATCCATACCATATCTATCACCTATGTAGGTCATTATTTTATGTGAGATTTTAAATCATTTTTATTTATTTAAGTATATTATAGAACTTATAAAATGTATTTTAGTCATAATATACCTACTTGTATTAAGAGTTAAAATCTAACTTAAATTTAGATTATTATATTTAGTTAAGAATTTTAAAAAAGTAACTAAATAAATACCTACCTACCTAATTAAATTTAAATATATATATATATATATATAATAGATGATACAACTATTTATATCAATGTATTTGCAAACTATTACTCACCATCTCTATAATATGCATTTATTTACTGAGATCACGTTTTTTTAACTATTATTTTATATGGGTTCATTGTAAAAGTTGTAATACAACATCTCATTTTCATATAATATATTTATTCATTTGATGAATTATCATCACATGATCAATTTAAATGAACATGATAGGTAGAGGATAAACAAAAATATRTATCTAATTCATATTACTATTTTCTATTACAACTAAACCATGATTTATGATATCTTAATTTTAATTCACAACATAATATTTACATTGGTGGCCTAATTGGTTATAATCATTAAGTTATTGTTGATACTTGACAGCAAGATAGTTCATACTAAATCTGTCATTTAGCATTTTTAACCGATACCTACTATTTTTAATTATTAAAATTATAATAATATTATTATGTTCATTCATTAAAAATAATTATATAATTAAAATGAACAATTCATTTTTGTGTTTTGATCACGGCTGTCTATACTCTATACCATGTGTAACTGGTGTGGATTATATTGTCAATAACAGTATTAAAATTATTATATTATTGGTTCTGTTGTTCTGTACTTTCTTAAATTGGTCTAATAGTCAATTGGATGATATAGTATGGTATTGTGAGAGTAAATAGTTCAATTATATGTAACAATTATTTAACAACTATTTGATATGATATTAATTTATTAACATATATTTATATATATATCACTTAATTATTTATGTATTAGGTATCTACTTAAGTAGGTAGCTACTTAAAATAATAAAATTATTAGGTATAGGTATAAATATTTGTTGATACAATTACATGATTACTATTTACTAGGATTCTAGCAAATATTATGCCCTCTTAAATTATAACTATAATAAATTATTTATTCCAAATATTTTATTTTGTATCTGGTTATTTAATCTGTGTCTCAAGACACAGGGTACAYTTWATCACTTWTTACCCTGTAAACAACTTTTGATTCTGTTTTTGGGACATTGAACTAGATGATTAGTCTAGTCTGGAAGAATTTATGATTGATTAGATCATAAATTCCAATGACTTATTTTTTTTTAATTCTTGTATTTTGCGCACGTGCAACTAAACTTTATTTAATTTAATGCCAACCCCTAATTTAAATATCATTTTACGATTGATTGATTTTTTCATAATATTTTAATTTATCAACTTGTGTTGTAAACTCAAAATTGATTTAATTAGAGTTTTAGGAATAATTAAAAAAAAAATCTTATTAAATTTGAATGTTTTTGAATTATTTTATTTCATTCTAAATACTGTTATGTAATCAGAATAATAATTTC